CTTGAGCTGTGATCTATGCTGCTCTTTAAATGAAACTCAAAGGCCCTTGTATTTATTTTTATTCATCAAAAATCTGTATAAGCTAACATTATCATTAATTAGACATAACAGTTTATGGAGGAATCATCATAATAATCCACAGGTAGAAAAATCAAAAACCAGAAAAACAAAAACAAAAGCCCAGTAGAATGGGATGTTTCCATGAGATAAACATACTACATTACCGTACTACATTACAGGCGGTGGGGATCTCCCCACACCCATCCACACCATGCCAGATACCAGAAATAGATAGCAGCAGCACACATGTAAAGGCACAACAGAAGCAAAAGATATTCTGAAGTCTGTGGTCTGTGGGCCTTGCCTGTCCAATATTGACCCAGCAGAGAGTTTTCTCTTGGTGGGCTGACACCTTGAACTTCATTGATCATCTTCTGCTCCCCTGACATGGCCACCACTATATACTGCCTTCCAGTTTCTTCATGAGCTTTCTGCTCCCGGATAAGCCTCACTGAGAGGCTCTGCCACATGTGATTGCTGCCACAGCCCTGCCCCACCGTTTATTCCTCCCAAAGGCACACCATGCCTGCAGAAAACATTAGCTAAAGTCAACTTCTACTTTTTAATTTGCCTTTCATCTGTATTTTGGCTGTAGTAATCAGAAAAGTAATTAATATACTTACGTAATATTAGTAGTAGTAGTACATTCCAATGTTTATGAACATAATCTAGTATAAAATTCCTACTAAATTTACCCCACTCTCCACAACACACACACACACACACACACACACACACACAAATTATACATAATTTGGTAAGAATAATATATCTTACGTTTACTCATATAGTCGAATAAATGTGGTTGGCTAGTAAATATAGCTGCCTCTCTAGTATTTTAAGATTGCTATCACCTCGATGCTTAGGTCATTTCTCACTCTGGTTTTATTTTTATTTTGTGATCTGTTCTTACATTGTTTTGTAATTTAGATGTTGAGTATGAATTGATTGTTTTGTAAAATTTGCAATGTCCCCAAATTTAGATGTTGATATCCTAACTTCTAGTGTTGCAGGAAGTTTATGGGGTGTTTAAGGTAGGATCGCAGATCACTCATGAATGATGTTAGTGCCCATAGATGCAGGCAAAAAATGAAAGCAATTGATTCGAGACCAGTACCAATAAGACTATGATTGATTTGAAACTGTTTCAAGTAAGAAAAATGAGATGTTTTCCCTTACTGTAGTTACTCAAAAGTCTACAGAATCAGACAAAACTGCAGGCGTGTTTCTGGTCTGTAATGTGTCACACTCACTAAGAATCCCAACACTTTGCTCAATTCTGTTTCTTTCAAGTGGTTCCTTCTTTGTTCTTTGTGTCACTTCCTTGTTCTTATCCTTATGGGAAGTAAGTTCTCAGCTAAAGATGGAACATCCCAGTCAGTGTTGAAAGTGCTTATGTTACACTCTCAGCCTTTGTTCTCTGAATCTGGTCAATACTGGAGCAGGTGGACAGGCTGCATTTGCAATTGTATCTTTCCTATTTCCCAATCACAGTTTAGCCACAAGACATTATGAATAAGACCAGCATTATTGCAAAGTAATGCATTTTTTCTTCTCCATTTGAAGGACTTTGAATTTTTGTTTAGTTCTCTCATTACCAAGAGAATAGAAAGTATATGTAGAGGAAAAGAAAGCATTTTCCCATAGCTACAAGGTTTCATTTACCAAAATTGTAAAGAATTTATTCAGTATTACACTGTCTCCATTCTTACCATGGAAGTTTTCTTGGGAGAAAACAAAATCTGTGCTTCTCTCTCAGAAGGAGATGCTTGGCCCATGGTGAGGTGGTCTACAAGACCACTTTTTCTTTCATCTGACACAGAAAAAGGACAGGAGACAAATAGCACAGCTTCCATATCATGTCAGAACACTACTGTCTTCCCACTGGGGTGATTGCTGTTCTACAGTGACCAGGGCAAAAAGAGATGCTGAGTTCTAAAGGATAAACTGGTTTAGCTGGGAAATTACACACATACGCCCAGAGAAGATGCATCTCAAAAATGTTTCTGAGTAGATCCAGAATCTACTCCCATTTTCTTGTTTTATGTCATAGTCTAACAAACATTCCTTCCAGAAAGTAATCGAGGAGTAATTTAGCTTTCATTGTGTGTCTGCAACCACAAACAAAAGGAAAATAAGGAAGTAGGCTGGGAATTTAACTAAACTTAATCTGGCAATATTTGTCTCATTGTTCTTTTTAGAAACTTCAACAGCTATAGTTGGGCATAACATATAATTTTCTGTGTGGAAATATTTTTCATCCTCAATGATAATGGTTTTTCAAAGACAAAGTTTTATAATAAGATGAACACTTTTCGATTCATTGGTACATTTACTAACACAGGTCTTGTTCAATGTTTACCAATTGGTGAGTAGTAATAGCAGGTATTATGTCATTCAGTCTAGTGAAATGGATAGGTAAAATCAGGAAAACTAAGAGTGTATATATAGTTCAGCAAGACATGTATGATAAATGAAAACTAAATTGATGAAGACAAATTGAAAAGTAGTGGATGGAAATGGCAAGAAGTGATCATATATAACACATGTAGATAAATATCTACCACAAATTTAGTAGGTCTGGGCATGTATGCCTAGAATCCCAGCACAAGGCCAGCCTCTGTTACATAGTGAGTTAAAAGCCAATCTGGGCTACACAAGATTCTACATCAAAGAACCAAAGAGGAAATTGGTTCAAGTTGTTACACCTCAAACAACAGTTAAACAGACAACAGTTGACTGATATATCAAGTTTTTGAATCTTTAATAAGACTGAATATTAATAACATTGTGGGGAAGGGAAGCAGTAATGTAGAAATCTGAATGGTGGAAGAGTAGCAAAGGCAAACTAAATATATAAGCTTAGTCTATGCTTTAATTCTAAGATGGTTATAAGAGTGATAATTATTAAATGAAGAAGATCAAAATGCTAGAACTATTTTGAGATAGAATTTAGGCAAATTAAACTCCTATACTTAGAAGAGGAAAGTAAGGATCAAATCCAGAAAGCATAGCAATTGGTCAGAAAGACATATTACAAAAGACCAGACAGCAGATAGCATATGGTGGAGAAAGTTAAGCAAAAAAGAAAATAATTCATCACCAGAGACTGTACATTCTGGCCTGGAAAAAATAGGAAAAAACAGCCATCCTAAATGAATGCAAACTATGAAGAGGCGTTTTTTTGGGGGGGTAGTGGGCAGAGGAGCAGAACATTTACAAAGATGCTTAGAGAGAATAGGAGAGTGAATAGAGAGTCCTAGATGACTAAGCATAGTGTGATATTGTTAATTAGTCTTTTGTCTCCAGGAATAGGTGCTGGGCTCAGACTCTGGAAACACCTCAGGATGTAAGGGCAGGATGGAACTAAGCAGAGACTGAGGAGAGCATCTTTTTGCTTAGAGTGAAGAAGACCCCTCTCCAAATAAAGCACAAAAGCCCTATGTTGGGAAGAAGAAGACTGATGGTGAAAAAGGATGGATGGGGAAGACATGGGGTAGGATGGCAAAAAATAACACTCAGGTCACTATGAAGGACTTTGTTAGAGTAGTCTTACAAGCATTACCTCATGTACTCTATTAAATGTCTTTAAGTACATTTAAAGTTGTGAGAGAAAGGAGAGGAAAGATAGAGGAGAGGGAATCTTGGGCAGACAGATTTAATTGTTTATTAGCAAATTCTCCTGGAGACAAAGGTTGCCCTCAAGGGGTCACACCTGCTTTCTGAAAGCTCAGAAGAGTCTCTGCACCGCACTAAGTCACTGGGTTCTGGGGTAGCAATGACTACACGGGGCAAGATAGGAAAGCTCAGTGACAATAGGCATCCTGAGAAAGGAGACCCAACACCAGATCAGGAAAGCCCCTTTCCATGGATTTCTTAGAGTATCCAGTCTCTCAATCGCCTGTAAAATTGAAACAGGAATTTATCTCTATGTGGATCTGGCCTTGAGAACAAAGGTGACTTGGAAAGATGAAATGACATGTCTTGTGTTTTCATCAGAAGAGTTCATGCGGGTGCGGGATCCACATCCCTCTGATGTGACAGTGACAGCTCATGTTGGATCCCTGGGTTCTTTCTGGCTGACTTCAAGAAAAGGAAGAAGAAAGTTTCCAGAGCATAGCTGTAGAGTTGCTGCATCTGGCTCTGCTTTCCCTGCACAATTAATTATCATCAGTCAGCTTCAAAATTGTGCCTGAAAGTCACAAGGACATCTGTCTTCACAACAGCAGCCTGAGTGCAGGATTGTTGAAGTCATTCTTTGTATGTTGAAACTTTCCCACTTGTTCTCTCCTGATCTGTTATCTTCTTAGTAGTGTCCAGTTATTGCCTGAGCACCTCCATTGTTGGAGAAGTCCCATGGTCTAGAAGTTGGTTAGAAGAAGAAAATTAGAAGGGCTCTAAAGCAGGTAGTAATTAGTCAATGAGTACTGAATGGCTGCTTGTAGCTTTCTCAGAGGCTACAGAATTAGTTTAAAAAAAAAAGTATAAATAAGCAAGTATCATAAGTACTGTAATATGTTCAATTATTACAATTGACTATATATTATTAAATATTCCCTTCTAGATTAAATATAATAATTACTATTATCATTATACTTTGTTATATATTATGAAATGTTTTATTTATCAATATTACTGCAAATATCATCAATATGACTGGAAATAACTTTAATAATCAAGGCAGTTCATTAAATACTAAGAAGCAAGACAGGCCTTTCAAAGAAATTTTATCTCATCTTCAGTTTGTTGCTGTTCTCTGACGCTTAGACAAGGAAGGTTCAAGGACATGGACTTGGTCATTACATGGAACTGGTGGGTGTTGGAGCTCACCACCCCATACTCTCCCAGCACTGACTCTTAGTGATTTTTGTGAAATTACTGGGAGTTTCTGAAATGGGAAGTGCAACTGCCTTCACACGTCTGCAGTCTGTAAGCATCACATCCTGTATGGTAGTGAACACTTGCAGAGGAAGGGCTGGGGCCAGTCAACTTTACAAATGAAACCAAGAATCAGACTGAGAGAACCCATCGTTAAAAGCTCTTGGGATTCCTGAGAGCCCAGCCTGGGGAGACAGGGAGGCACAGAGGCACAGGTAGGCTACCCTGAAGAGGCTTTCCCCTGTGCAGCACTCTCTTTCTAGACTTCATTAGGGGAAATTTCTGACACTTGTGAAAGCGGTGGATACCTTGGGCAAAGGGAAGGGGCATCTGGCTCACCTCCTACCCTGTGTTTCTAGCTGCATGATCTTGATGGTCACTGACCTAAGGCCATGTGATCCCTGGGAGCAGAACTCATACTGCAAAGGTTCTCAGGTCATTCACTGACTGGGCAGCCAAAGGTCTGAGAATGGTGCAGAGAAAAGAGAGGCATGCTGATGTTTTTCTTTCGGCTTAGCAGAGACACATGGGTCTACTGATATTTTAATTATCGTCTGCTACCCCACAGCCCCTCAGTCAGCATCCTACCAGCCACTCAGGCCACAGCCTGGTGGTGCTTCTGGTCCCATGGCCTCGGCTCTGCCGCTGCCATGATATGTAGGTTTGGAGTAAAACTCTTATCAAATGTATCAATAAGACTCAGAAGTCAAAGACTGGGGTGAAAACCTGCCAGCTCAAAGAGACTGAGTAGCAACAAGCTGACCTTGCCTTTTAGCCAGAAACACCCCAAGAGACACGTCTTTCTGCTTATTCCAGAACCAAGAGGAAGCTCGAACTCCAATCCCTGCCCTTTCTTTCCTGTGTGTCTTCCATATCGAAATTGCTGGCTTATCCGTGTCCAATTCCAGTCAACTAGCCACTGACTCCGCCCCCAGATTCAAGGTATAACTTTATTGGGAGGTCTTTTGCAGGATCAGAGTGCCAACAAAATATCCCACAAAACCAAGCTGAAAAATCAATTCCACTTAGTCCAAGGCAACTTAGTCCTTCCCACTAACAAAGACAAAGTTCTGACCTTGAACCTCAGGTTATGACTCCAGGATGTCTCACATTAGTGCATTCAGCTGCTTCTCCATGCTGAAGAGACCCACACAGACCACCATTAGCAAGGGGGAAAATGGGTGCAGGAACAGAGTCAGAGACAGTTGGGGTTCAGCACCCAACTGTGTGTAGGCAACTGATTAATAATCATGTAATACTATTAGTAGTTGTATAATATTAAATAATTTGTTTATAATAAATAATGATAAATAATATAAGAAGAACTCTAAATATTTAGCTAACATTGATTTTTATGTCCCCGAACAAAGTGTGAATTACTTCCACGTGTATATCAAACTTTTGACTCTGAATTTTCTAACTAATTACAATTTTATTAATTAACAGAAAGGGGTTTTATTTCAAGGATTAAAGCACTGCAAGATCACTTCTACTAAAATATGGTAAAATATAAAGTGCTAACTCTAAAAATGGTACTATTAGACTCACAAAATAGACAAGTATTAAGTATTTTGAGTGGTAGGTAGCATGAATTGGAAAACATTGAAGGTTGCATTTTAATATCTCATGACTAGCAGAGCAACTGGGGGTGCATGACACAGGATAAAGAAAATGCACTTAAACTCAGCAGAACTGAGGCAAGAGCTGGAGCTGCATTTTGCAAATTTTGTGTGAGCTTTTAGGTATGGACACAGGAACCTCTGGGGATTTGTGCTCCCTTTTCCTATAGTGTGTGTTTATTGAAAATCAGTTCAACATTACCGGGAAAGATCTCAGGGACCCAAGGTGTGGTGGCTCGTTCATTTATTTCTCTGCACCACCAGTTTCATCTGCTGGAGAACAAGTCAAGAGCACAGGGAGGCACATGGTCTGGGAGGTGGTGGCAGAACATTGGGAGCGGAGCCTATTTCCCTTTGTTGGTTAGTTGGACTTATTTTGTATTCAGAGTAAAGCATTTAGTTTTTTTTATTGAAAATTCATACAATATATTCTGATCCTCCCTTCCGTCCAGTTTCATACCTTCCCCCCCCCATTTAGACAACAAATAGGCAAATAAAAACAAACAACCCAAAACCAAACAAACAAACAAAACAACAACAGAAAACTACTACAGTGAGACCAGTTTTGTTTTGTTTTGTTTTGTTTTGTTTTTTAAGAGCAGAGTGCATTTTCTCTTCCAGCTGTGGAAGCTCCATCATGATCCCACAAGTCGTGACCAATGAGACTGACACAGAGTTTTCAACAAATGAAGTCAACTTTCCCCAAGCAGACAAACCCCAGCCTGCCCACCAGAAGCAAGGCAGCCTGAAGAAATATCTAAAGGCAGAGATCAAAGTGATAGCAGTAAGCCCAACTCAGAAGGCTCTGGGGTGGGTGGAGGGCAGAGGGAAGAGACACTGTGTCTTTGGATTAGAGATTGATTTGGGGTATGGAAGTCTTCGGTTACAGCCGAAAGCCCTTGGCAAGCTGCATATATCTCTTAGACTTTCCATAAATTAACTAGTATTTCCCCTTATTGCAAACATGAATCACTGAGATTTTGTTGTTCATTTTTTGTTTTCACTTTTAGAGAGTACTCGCTAGGATTTTATATATAAAAATAAATAAATTGTAGATATATTCTATGTGCTTACTGAGAGTAAAATACCTTTCTCTTTGGGAGAAGAGACAGTACAAAAAAAAACAAAAACAAAAACAAAAAAAAAACAAAAAACAAAGAAACAAACAAACAAAAAAACCCCTTGGTTTGCCAACTTTGCTCTCATCCCAGATTTACTAAAGGGACTTTTGGGGTAAAGGGAAGATATGAGAAAGAACATGTTATTTTGTGCTGTGTGAAAAGATGAAGCTGTTTTTTTTTTCAGTGTTGTCTCTACCAACACTATCTGCATGGGCCTCTGTGTTACCCAGTTTCAGAACTTAATGGAGCTGATGGCCTTACCTTGGGCATACAATCATCTGAACTGCTTTGAAGTACATGTAACAAAAACTTTTAAAATTGCTTAACCAAATTTACAAGAGCTGAGAGTCTATGGGGTGAAAGAGGAAGAGAAGATAGCTCTTTTAATACAGAGGCTAAGGATCCCCAGAATGGACATCTAGATTGAAGATACTGTGGAGTCAGGCAGATAGGCTGGCTCATTGTGGTATTCTGTGGGCTCTGGGTAATGTGTCAAGAGGTACACAGAGTGGAAGGGCTTTCAGATTACTCTTCCTCCCACAAGAGGGAGTAGGAGACTTGCTAACCATGGACTTACAGCTCAGCTCCAGCCAGAAGATGCTAGGAAGGATCTTGATCATGACAGAGTTTCATGGACACAAACACCTGAAGGTGACCTGAGGCTATGGCAGTACCAGCCCCCTTCAGAATGAACTCCCCTCCTCTCACTCCAGTGCTTTTATAGTGTCTGTGTGCTTACAGTGACATTGTAGAAAGTGAGTATACATGAACACCATGAGAGGAGTGGAGAGGTCCCTCTTGCTATTGCTGGTTTTAATCTCCCATCTCCCTTCTTTTGACAGGCAATCCAGATCATGTGTGGTGTGATGATGTTGTGTCTGGGCATCATTTTGGCATCTGCTCCTAACATCCCATACTTTACCCAAGCGCTTTCTGTCCTGTTAAAATCTGGCTACCCATTTATTGGATCCTTGTTTGTAAGTAGAGTTTTGTGGGGAGCAAGATGGGAGAACAGAGGAGGGAGACATCACCTTGCTCACTTTCTGTCTACTATGAGAAAGAGGTGGATGGTAGATCTTGTTTTTCTGTGTGTCATCCCCAGAAAGTCCTAGTGTATTAGGGCAGAGGTCACACCATTCTGAAGATGTTTTTCATCTAGTTCAAATAAGCATTTCTTGTGAATATCATCTTTTCATCCCACCTATTAAGCTATGATGCATTTAGTGACCTCTATAGGTTGAGTAAAACACCCAGGAAGTGAGATCCACATGATCTAGAGCTTTTTGTATAGTGTAGTGACATCCAGTGGACTCACCACCTGGCAGGAAAGAACACTTTCATTCTTGGGATCTGGCTTCATTGAAGGCACTCAGGTTGATAAAAAAAAAAATCCAAAGCTATTTTCTTTTCTCTCTTCCTGTAGCCCAATGCTTCTGGATCTAAAATAATCTAATTCCATTTTTTTCCTTTTCAGTTAACATAATATGTTTTTTACTACCTTTTAAAGTCTTTATTTTAATGGGATAGATTTCTGCTCTTACCTACCTTTTTGTGTTTTCTGAATAGTACATGGGCAAAGAGACTCCTCTGGGAGCCTAAGTGTATCATCATTCATTGGTCATTTGTTGCTTGGGGATTTTCCCATGGAAGTTTGTCATAAACCCCAGATAGTAACACTATAGCCACTTTGTACATAGAAATGGACCTGACAACCTTTCTCTCTTGTCTGAGCAGTTTATCATCTCTGGAATTCTGTCAGTCATCACAGAGACAAAGTCAAAAAAGTCTTTGGTGAGTACAAGAGCCATAACCCCGAACTGATGAGGGAGAACCATTCAGGGCTCAGCTTTCACACTAAAGTTACAAGCTAAACCCTGCAGTAATTACTTGTTCTATTTGTGAGCTCCAAATACCTATAGAGAGCACATTCTCCCTATCACAGTGACCAAAATCATACTGTTCCATATGCCCATGGCCAGTGCCAAGGAATCTCACATAAAACTCCTGCTTTTTTATGATTCTGTTTTGTAAGCCACAGGCTATGATGATAAATCTTAATCATCAGTTGACCTGATTGAGGAACACCTAGGAGATTAATAAAGCATACCTCTGAGGATGTCCTATTTCCAAAATGTGATAGTGTCTCCCTTAAGATGAAGACTCAGATGAAATGGGCAAGAGTTGAAATGTGCTTAGCACATGTATCCTCTCACTCTGCTTCCATGACCTCCACCATGCTGTGAATTGCTCTGCTCTGCCACACCAGCCTCACTCTGGGGTGCCAAGACTCTGAGACCGTGAGACAATGATATTTTGCTGCTTAGTTGTTTATGTGAGGTATTTTGCCATAGCAATGAAAACACTAACAAAAACCTTTCAATTTTTACTCTTCAGTAGTGAAGCTAAGGCCCTTATTTTTAAAGAGTTGTATTTTTTGTGGATATACTATATAATCTCACCACTTAAATGCATGAAAACCCTAGACAAAATGCTCATATGAGAACCATCTTTAATCTATATCTCCATAAAGGTAATGTTTTTGATAGGATTCAGTATACATTTTTTGAACCAAGAAGCAGAATATTTGAATCCTGAAAGTCTCAGTAGTTTTTTTTTTTTTTTTTTTTTTTGGCTAAGAATTCAGTTTTACCTACCTGTAACTTTTTCCAGGGAAAGCTAAAGTCATTGGGAGAAGAAAGATGGACTATAGGAAGAAACTTTTGAGCTATTTAAAGATTCACCTAGCCATCAGTCAACTGATATTCCTCAAGGAGTTGACCTAGGAAGTCATAAGAGAATGCCATGTAATACAGTAGCTTAGGGATTTACTTGTTGAGATCTGACTAAATGAGACATTCAAGTACATAGAGAATTAATTACTTTTCTGTTGCTGTGGTAAAATAGCATGGCTAAAGCAACTGAGGATATAGGTAGTCTCTAGGTAGAATAAGAATGAAAGACACTTAATCTGTGTTGAAGAATTCTCTTTTCATACCATGTATGGAGACTAAAGAAAAATGAAGCTAGAATAAACCTAATTTGTTCTAAGAATATATATCCAACCAGCATCCTGAGAATTTCTGCAACATTTTGGAAAAGCAGTATAAGTGAAAGCTGTTGATCATTTCAGGTAGATGGCAGCCTGACTATGAACATCTTGAGTATTTCATTTGCTTTCATGGGCATCATTATCCTCTCTGTCAGCCTGGCTAGTTTGCATCATGCCTTAGAGGAATGTGAGAAGAACTGGGCACTTAAACCAACTGAAGTTAGTTACTTCCGCTATCACTTCAGCCTACAAAGAAGTTCCTGCTCTGACTCCAAGGCTGTTTTGAATGTAAGTATTCATGAAGGTTGCATTGAAAATGTCTGTTTTTGGAAAACATTGAAATTTTTCCTATCATTTGAAAATATTTCATTCAGTCTGAGTAATGCAAGGTAAGTAAGAACATGGAATTAAAAGTCTAGAATAAGGAGTTACATGGTAATAGTGAGGATTTGAGGGAAAATTACCAAATAATGTAGGTAATGAAACCATAAATATTGTTATTAGTCTCTGAAGGATTAAAAATAAGATTCAATTTTAGAAGCATAGATTATAAGAGCTTGAACCAAGAGCCTTGACCCACAGATTGGTAAATTAAGAATGGAAAACATACCAAAAAGACTCAAGTGGTCTGGAGATGCAAATGAGGAAATCTGGTGCATGTGTGTGATACAGGGGTGAGATAAGCTGAGCAAACCTGGGCCAATAAATGAGAGATTTAGTGTGGGAAGTGCAGCAGGGGTGAGGGGCATTTGTCAGGGCCTCTACTCCCTCCAGTGATCACAGTAACCAGCAGTAGGCCTGTGTGGAAGCAAGCTCACTGCTGCTTTGATTACAGTTCAAAGATGTGGGGTTCTTAAGTGAGGAGAAAAAAATACAGAGAAATGGAGTAGATAAGTAACAGTGATATGAAGGAATTCCACCTTATTGGAAGAAAGTAATGCAGTATTAATAACAGTAATAACATGCCTTTAATTAGAACATCCAAGGACATATATTTGACCCCCAACACACAGAGAGATAATTGGGTAAGATAACAATGAAGATACTGCAGATATTTATTTCCTTATGACAATAAAAGTAAGATAAGAAGAAACACAACAGGAAAATGGCCAGACAGTCAGGTCTGGTCAATCTCCTCAGGCTTTCTCAGCTCCTTATGGAGCTGGGCTCAAGGTGTCTACCTTAGTTAAGAAACCACAATGAGAAAGGGTATGTGCAGATTGAATGCAGAACAAGGGAGTACATTACCATCAGGAATAACTAAGCCTGACTTTAGAAGCCTGAAGCATTGAAGAAGAATCTGTGTGGACTACAAAGTACGAGGACATGATGGCATAGTTTCACATTGTAAGCCTGAGAGTGGCTGAGTGTGCTTGCTGGGACAGTGCCTAGATAATGGAGGCATGCTCCATCTCCTCCCTACCTGTGGGCAGACAAATAAAGAGTTTATAGCGCCACATTTGTCTTCCTTCCTATCAAGCAGCCTTCATGAATATCACATCAGGACAGAAGTCCTGGGCTCTGTGTTCTCAACCGAAGCCCTAATTCCAGTTGCTTTGTGATGTTAAAGACTGTAGAAACTATATTGTCACTCTGCATTTTACCATCACACACACACACACACACACACACACACACACGCACGCACGCACGCACGCACGCACGCACGCACGCACGCACGCACGCACACACACACACAGGCAAAAGAAACACATCCCAAGGAAGAAGTTTCTATTGATGCTGACTTTTACAGAGAGCTAGCTTGGTCAGAACCTCACTAACTCTCACAAGACTGTGTGGAGGAAAAACTATTACACACACGTGAGAAGCCAGAGAAGCAGAGACTTGCCCAGCCTCACTCTAAGAGAGCCAAGAGCAGGAGCTGTTGACACCGTCCTGCCAGTCACTTCTCTGCTCCCTCACTGAGTGAACAGTATGGTCAGGGATCCCTGCCCAAGACTGGTGAGATCAGTGACAGAAATGGCTTTGTTGAGTTAGTTTATTTTTCACCCATTTCCCCTAAAGGAATGAAGGGACCAGACATCCATGTAAGTCTAGGTGTGGAAGGATCCCTTTCCCTTGTTGTTGGTGTTCTTTTTTGCCCTCTGATAGTGGAGATGGTTTCCTCTCTATAGTCACTTCCCACCAAGGCATTTGGGCACTTCAGCTGACTCAGTCACTCCAACCTCTCCTCTCCTGAATTTAGGGAATGCTTTCATTGATGTTGATCTGCACTGTGTTGGATCTTGGCCTGGCTATGATCGCTGCCATTGTGTGGTGGAACCAGGGTAATTTTGACTTCTCTGGGGTGAGTATGCTAGAGGCCTCTCAGAATCTTGTCTGGTGTTTCTCTGGGATGTGCTGCCATGATTGGCATATAGAATAATTAGTCCCCATGACATGAGCACCAGGTGGTTTGGACAGTAACATAGGACAGTAGATGGAGGTGAAGGCAATTTTATTGCTGATAAGGATTATCTGAACATGAAAACAAGTGACCCTAACACTTCACTTGATTCTTCCATTTTGCAAACAAAGGGATTAAAACTCTAGGAAGTTTAATGTATCACCAGGGATGATGTGAGTTTCTGTAGAAAGAGGTTTTCCTCTGTCTAGTTTCAGTCACACTGGACTGGTTTCCCTCCACCCAATTTGGTCCTCACAGCCACTATGAAATAACTACTGTGAGATTTTATATCTATTTATAATTGTTTGGCCATTGGCTTAGGTTTCTTACTGGCTAAATCTCTCTTTATTATTATTTTTTATTATTATTAAACTGTTTTTATTAAACTGTGTATCTTCATGCAGCCTTTTCTTACTAGAGAATGCTTAGACATCATGCCTCCCCAGTGACTACATGGCATCTTCTGACTCCATCTATTACCTTTATCTATCCTTGTTTGGATTTACCACCTGGCTAAATTGTGCCTGTCCATTGCCTGAAATGTCATCAACCAATAAGAGAAACATATATTGGTAGCATACAGAAGGACATCCCACAGCAGGTTTGCCTGTGTTCAGGGAGCGTGGCTGCCTCTCTTCTAAGTGTACTACTTTCTCTAAAAGCCATGACTTGGTAAAGTCAAAGTGCACACTTGAATGTATTCAGTCAGTTTCTTAAACTCTACTTGCTTCATTCTGAACTTAAAATTTTTTCTTGCATCAAAGACATTAAGGCAATGATATTTAGTAGTTGCATGTAACCCTTTTCAGCCAGCTCTCACATGTCTTCATTAATGGAACCAAAAGGTTTGCTCTTACCAGATCCTTAGAGTGTAGAAGGAAGATTAGGTGATATACATCAAATATGTGCATAATTTAATAATGTGTTATTTTTATCTTAGAACAGCTATAAGTTCTATTACAACACCAAATGAAATTCTTTCATGTATATACATGTGTCTATGTATTTATCTACCTTTCTATGTATGTGTATATATATATATGTATACATATATGTATACATGTATATATATACATATATATATTCATTTGTAGTCTGAAATTACATTTTTTTAATTCTAGAATGTGATTTTCATGTCTCACAACTCAAACAATGAATCCAGCATGGAATCAAAGTCACTTTGTAACCCTGCATATGCAGAACAAAATTAGTTTCTTCAGAATAAAAAAAAAAATGGAAATACACAGCAGAGAGCCTGTCTTCATGATCATGCAGAAAATCTGACCATCACAAGACATCAATGCTCATGTTTCCTGAAATATGGCTGTTTAAAAAGTGAATACAAGAAAGAAAAAAGGTGATTAACAGTAATGTGTTGAATGGGTGTGTCCAGTGACACCCTCTTGACTTTCATAGCCTTGGCTTCAACCAAAGCTCAGACCTGCAAATAGTGGCCAAAGATCCAGATATTTATCAGAAAATAATAGAATGTTTGAGGGAACCATGGTGGAGCAAGGGGGCAACATTGTCTTGTTGCCGTTAACAATGATAGTTAACCATTTTACCCCTGTGTTCAGAACCCCTGTGGTGGCATGGTGTTTTCATTATATCAATTTTATTCATTAGTAATAGAAACAAGTGACCTGCAATAAAGTCTCAAGAACTGTACATGTTATTGGTTTCAAAATAAAGTATTTTTGTGATTGTGTGTTCTATTTGTAAGGGTTTTTGTTGTTGCCTTGTCTTTAAGCACAGTTCAAGCCCCCTGCAATACATAAACACATCATTTTGATATCCCTTTGTGCTCTTTCAATGAAAAGGCATGGGAAAGACAATTAGGTATGTATCTCTGGTGTGTGTGTGTGTGTGTGTGTGTGTGTGTGTGTGTGTGTGTGTATTTCAAAGTTTAGCAATGTATTTTTTAGGTGCCAGATCGCATACTTACTTCTAGGATTACCAGAGCAAATAAGAGACATTTCTTCATTTCTTATAGGAGGCCTGAGAGATGTCTTAGCAGTTAAGTGCACAGATTGGTCCTGTAGAAGACATGAGTTTAGTTTCTAGCATCCACATGGAAGCTCACAAACATATGTAACTTCAGTTCCAAATGATATGTCACCCTCTTCTGGCCTTTGTGAGCACTAGACAGTCATGCAGTACACAAACATACATACATGTACAATATGTGTGCAACATAAAAATATATTAAAAAGAAACTTGTAGTAAAATGTGGAAAGTGGGAAATAACAATAAAATTAGGATCATATTGTATATGCCATTAAGATATATTCTACTTGAGTCCACAAAAAGTACACTTATTTTCTACCTAAAAACATTCATAGAAGAGGAGAGTCTTTTTTGAGACATTTCCCAACTCTTGCCTATTGTCAATCATGTAATTCATCTTGTTTCAAGAAAGGAAGGAAGGCCTACCACCTAGAAATCATAGTTGCACCCCCAACTTTAGCTCAGCCATCACTGTTAGCATCAAACTTTCCAAACAAGCACACATCATTACCAACTCTACAGAAACTAAAAAGACTTAGTCACATAGAGAACACCATCATGCAGTTTGTACAATGATTTAAATGAAAACAAACAGTAGGAAGATAAACAATGAAAAGCAACCCAAGGATAATTATCATAAAATAATTTAGAATATGAATGACCATATAACAAGTAAAGGAATTGGTTCAATAGTCACAAGAGAAACTCAGGCCCAGAGTGCTTCACAGGTAAATTAATTTCAATATTTAAAGATAAATATAACAATCATTTGCAAATGAATTAAAAAGAGAGTATAGGGCATATTCAACTTATTCTACAGGTCTAGTGTACAGACATCAAAAGTAGAAACATTAAATGAAATGAGAGGTATGGAAAAATTCACTTCTAGTACATTTTGCATCTATCAGCACCTTTTGTCATGTGTCAATCACAACCTGGGCAAAGATCATACCGTGTTGGTCCTCCTTTCTGCCTTCTCATAGCCAGCCTCACATTGACACTGGCAGCATTCCTGTGGCATCAGTAGGCTTTGGCCCTCATATTCTCTATTGTTTAAATTAGTAGTTCTTTTGTAGCACTGTCAATAATTTCTTAAGTTAGTGTTGGGTTTAACTAACTTTTCTCACTCATAAATATTTATAAGTGTTTAAGCCAAGTTGTTGATTTTTAATTTAAATTAGAAACAATCTTATTTTACATATCAATCCCTTTTCCTCCCATCCTCCCATCCTCCCATGCGCTCTGACACTCTGACCTCCCCCATCCCATCCCCTTTCTGCTTCCCAGGGAGGGTGAGGCCTTCCATGGGGAATTATCAAAGTCTGTCACATCATTTGGGACAAGGCCTAGGCCCTACCCCATTTGTCTAAGCTGAGAGAGTATCCCTCTATGGGGAGTGGGCTCAAGCTGTCATTTTTTTTACATAAATTAAAATTTAAGCATGTTCCTTCAAGTTTTGTGCTATGCCTTTTCTGTAAAATTAAATATTATTCTTCTGTCATATAGTTTATGCTTGCCTTCTAAATTACATGTTTAAAGAGTTTACACATTGGTAAATGCCTGTGTATCTATCTATATATCTATAAACTATCTACTCAGTACCTGGGGTTTTCTTTCAGAACTGTATGATTTCAACTCAGGTACCCACATGAATACAATACTAGGAATCTCAAAAATATAACCTATAGAAATCCCTCAGGTACAAGGAAAAACCAGTAGCTTCTTCTGTTTTTAAAAATGCCTTTTAGAAATGTACAGAGTATTCTTCTATTTTATAGCAGAGAACATCCTTAACAAAAGTGTTTGACTACATTGTGTGCATGTGTGTATGTTCCAGCACACATGCACACATATGAGTGCATGCACATGGACCCCGTTTGGAATTGTACCAAGGTCCCTAAAAATGACTGAACAAGTCAAGCTTGACAAGTAAATGTATGTATGAGGGGTGCATTCACTAGAAGCCTCCAACACCCCACTTATAAAGCTTTTATTTATGATAACATTAAGACTGCAGCATAATTAATGCAAATCTTAACATGGACTGACACCTAGTATCAAGCAGCAGAAGTGACCATATTTCAGAAAACACCAAGTGCATATAGAAGTAGGCTCTGAGACAATTAATATACTTTTGAGACAGTGACATTATACTGCTGGCTTTGCCATCTGAAAGTAAATTGGTTCTGGTACACCTTACAGACAGGTATGGAGGAAAATAAGTATTTACCAGATCAGTTGTTGCATGCAGAATCAGGAGACATTTTTTTCTTTTTTTGGGGGGGGGGAGATTTTCTTTTTTCTTTCTTTTTATAAATTTATTCATTTATTTATTTATTTATTTATTTTTTATTTTACATGTCAGTCCAAGTTCCCTCTCTCTCCCTCCCTCCCTCCCTCTTACCCTCTCTGCCCCCTCACATGCACCCTGACCACCCTCCCCTCCCATCCCCCCACACCAATTCCATATGTAGTGCAATGCCATCCAGGTGAGGTCATGTAAATCTGTCAAGTCATTTGAAGTAGTGACTAGGATTAAGATAACTTAATCTGAAAAAATAAATAAATAAAAAGGAAATCACATTGTAAAGCAACAACAGTTTGATACACCATCTAATTAGACATATTGTCATGCTCTAAGGTCTGTCTGTCTGTCTTCTATACAGGCCAAACAGGAAAGTTAAACAGAGATGTGGTTGAAACCATTACCCTGCATCTTTCATATTATTTGTGGTGGCACTCTATCCATAACTTTTCCAAGGACATGCTTACTGACCTTGAATCACTATTTTCCCAAGTGAAGCACATGTAATAGCTTCTACTGGCCTTTCTAACCACAATATACCTTACTCCACAGGTCATAGAACCAATGTGGAGATTCTACCAACTCCTCAGTATATTATTCCAATTATGCATAGCATCTGAGGAAATAACCACTGGATGCATCTGGAGACACACTCACTAGTCTGGTTATACATCTAGAAACAAAACTGGGTTATGAGTGTGCGCCTGTGGAAATCAGCAATGTATTCCTTGGATCTCCTTCAGAAAAGCTTGCTGCTGTTTCTGCAGACAATGGTTGTTTAATTCTTTAACACAGGGGTACAGTAGGACTCCAGTCAGGCTGGGAATCCATGGAGAGCGAAAAGCCAGCTCGTCAGTTAGACTAGACCCATCATAACCTGAGAATTTGATGTCCTAAATCTCATCATTTTGTCAGGACCCTCTCACACATTTCTGTATCAATTTACAGGACACCATTCCTTTTCAATTGTGCCTTCATTTTGATTGCAGACACCCTTCAAGGTTAAGATAGCTAACCATATAATAAGGGTTTGTTAGGCCAGTATATGGCAAATTAATGATGTAGAAAACTAAAATTACCTGCCACCATAGTTCATCCAGGAAGCAGTCTTTTCCTCAATCTTATTTTTATTTTTATTTTTTTATGTTAGATACCAATCACAGTACTCCCTCCTCCCCTCCCCTGCACTCCCCATTCACTCCTCAGAAAGTGTGAACCTTCCTGTGGGGAGCCAACAAAGTATCATATCACTTTGAGGTAGGACCAAGGCCCTTTCCCCTATATTTAGGCTGATCAAGGCATCCCTCCATAGATAATGGGCTCCAAAAAAGCCAGTTCATGCACTAGGGATAAATCCTAGTCCCACTGCCAGTGGCTCCATATAGACACCCACATTCAGAGGGCCTAGTTTGGTCCTATGCATATTCCCAGCTTTAACTCTGGAGTCAGTGAGATCCCACTTGCTCAGGTTTCCCCATATGGTCTTGACCCTTTGCTCATATTATTGCTCTTCCACTGGACTCTTGAGAGCTTGGCCCAGTGCTTAGCTGTGGATCTCTGCATCTGTTTCCATCAGTTACTGGATAAAGGTTTTTATGATGACAATTAAGGAAGTCATCAATCTGATTATAGGGGAAGGCAAGTTCAGGCACCCTCTCCACTGTTGCTTAGAGTCTTGGCTGGGGTCATCCTTGTGGATTCCTGGGCTTTTCTCCAATCTTATACACTGTTCTCATACTCACTTACCCCCAGAACCCTGGCCTACCCATTTAGAAAGATTAGCAGCTTCTTCTGTTGCTGGGAGGGCAAGATCCAACCACTCATGGGCCTAGTTGGAAGTCCTTCTCACTCCTTGGGAAGTTCATGATCCATATTGTCTGTGTAGTCCTTGCATGTCTAGCTGCTACTTTTGGTACCAGGAAAAGAAGTATTTATCAGTGCAGACCACTTTCAAATCTCATTTCCCATCAGTGCTAATATCAAGTCTCAGGGAATTCATGGTTTCTGAGAATAGAATCATATCTAATTTCTACGTGTTTTAACTAAAGATGTCCTGAATATCTCCTTATAGCCTGATTCCTATGCTTTTCCAAGAAACCTGTGAAGGGCCCAGCCCCTCACCCAGCCCCCTGCTTTGGCAACCATAACAGGTTACAGAAAGACCCAGTAAAATGTGGAGTGGTGGGGAGGAATGGGATGGGAGTGGGGGGGGACAAGGGAGGGAGGTAGGGAGAACTGGGAACAATATGTAAAATAAGAAAAAATAATAAATATATATAAAAAGAAAAAGAAAAAATGTAGACCCCTGACTCAGCAGGATGTGCTAAGCCCCCCCTCCCCCTGCACCTTGCCCTAATTACTGGGAAGATCCTGCTTTAGATGTGCTTTACTGATAA